AGATAGTTGGTCAGAAGTAACAAAATTTTCTAAATTCCTTGAAGTTATAAACAACCACATCATCCGTTAAAGAAGAGACTTAAAAGTCTTGAACCACATCACTCCCAAGTAAAGTGGAACATCATGTCCATACAAGAACGTAGGTAATTAACTAAATTCAAATGGAGGACCTTCGGCTCCTTTCTTATGAACTTCCACCACTCTCTTTTTTATTATAGTATGTCGTATCATGTATATGCCAAAAATGACCCTAAAATGGTTAATATCATAAAGGTTTTTCCTCATTGTCTTAGAATAGTCAAAACTATTGCTTAGATTTCATCTCACCGTCCCCAACTTATTTGGAATTGAACCATAGTTATTGTTATGGTTATAGTATGCAGTTACAAAGAATTAATGCAATGATCAACCAAGCAGTAGGTGAAGCCTAAATGGAACTGTTCACAACTGGATATTCTAAACCCAAATTTTGATACATAACATATTAAAATCTCACAGCATAATTTTGTGAACACTTGAATTCACAAATATCCACAAATAATAATAGTAAAGACGACCTTACTTTCCTAACAATCAGGAAGAAAAATGCATGTTGCTTAAAATATTTTTCAAAAAGATAGTCTGTCGGGCAATATCCATATTTACAGTTCACAAATTTAATTGAAAGAAGTCAAAATAAAGAGTTATCACTACAACAAAAATGATTTTTAATGACAATTAATAGCTTAATTTTGCTAAATATGTATTTTCAGAGGCAACTAGTACTCTCTATAAATGATTTTAAAGTCTATAGCGACATTGAATCTAATGGCAATTAATTAATGTCGGTAAGGGTTTTAGCACTTTTCGTTAATGTGCATATTTATCGCCGATAAAAAATATTTTTGTTATAATATATTTTGGGCAAATGTAGTTTCAAGAAAACTTGATCTCTTATTATGCCTAAAAAAAGATATGAAGAAATATGACAAATTAGTCAATTTGAGATAAAAAGAAGTGAACCAATTGTCTCTATACAAATATTCTAGGAAGAGTACAATGGCATACACAAAGTTTGTACCTAAGATAAAACAATCAAAATAATATATTAATTGTGGCAAGCAAGAGAGGAATCTGTTTGGTTCTTTTAACAAAGTTCACCATTGGTTCCGTATTAGTTATCACATATTTGTTGTTCTGTGCTATCAATATAGCATGGCCCACAAACAATTTTTTCAAAAAGTATATGAAGAAACATGTCGAAAGGGACAAAAGAGAAGAGCAATTTTCAATCATGCTTGCTGGGATTTTTAACAGAATTCAAAAAAGTCATCAAAATAGCAAAAAGAAATTGCAATAGTTACATGAGTCACTATGACTAATAGTAAAAGATTAAGCTTCGTGAAATAGGAGGAAGAAAACTTTGAGGAATGAACATACTTCATAAGAAGCTTAATTAATGTATTTGAATTCAACTCTCCTATAGCGGAAAAAAACCTACAAATAATAATGGAAGAAATATAAGTTTTGTTTACTAAAGAACCAAATGTTATGAATTCAACCATTCTTGCAATGTTATGAGTTGTGGACTAAGAGGCGCAAGATTAGTAATGTTGCATAGAAATTGAAATCAATTTTCTTTGTTTATTCTTTCTTCTTTTGGTGCCTTGGAATTAAGTGTTGGATTTTAAAATGTATGAATGAAAAATGAAGAGTTGTGATTTTTGTGAAAAGTTGTGACTTTTATGAAGACTTCTGACTTTTCTAAAGAGTTGTGACTTTTTCGCAAGGTTGTGAATTTTAAGAAGGGTTAAATAAGATAATTGAAATGAGGAAAAAAAATTATTCTATTAAATATGTGGAAACATCGAATTGGTTAAGTAAATACATTTCAATGATGGAATTGTGATTTTCTTTCCTTTTATGTGTTGTATTGATAATTATATGAAGGTGGATTCGAAATATCAACTTGATGTGTGTAAACATTAGCAATGAATGAATTTTATTTTATTTTGCAAATTATGAGTTCAGAATAATAGTTGTTGAAATTTTGTCAAAATACATCAATCCCTTTCAATGATTCTTTTTAAAAAATATAATAAATATATTGCGAAACAACGTTATCAAACATCAGTCCCTTTCAATTATTCTTTTCATTTGTATTCTTCTATTACTATATTCTTTAAAAAATTATTTGACTTCATATATCTTAATACAAACTGAATCACGAGAAAACTATAATATAATATATTTCATCAAGAGCATTGCAGTACAACCAGAATTTCCAAAGAGAAAGCTATAATATTTATTTAATAACACCCAATATTTTTTCTCTTGCTACTAAAGCAATAAGTATGTAAAATGTAATCTCATTAAAAAATTCCACACCCAACACTAGTTTTCAGAAGCTATTGTCTTCAAAAGTTTGAAAAAACTTAACCAGTTATCATACTGCAAAAGAAATGATCACATAAAGTTAGTAATCAATTAACTAGAGCATTTCATGAATAAATATTTGATTTTATGAAAATCAACCTCATCGTTCAATTGGTCACCCTCCTCACAATACTTAATGAGAAGTTTCTCTTGTTCTTCTTCAATGGTGGCAGAGCAAGCTGATCTCTCAATCAATTGACTCTCCAATTCATATTTCAAGTCAAGTATTTCCCTTCTGAGGTCAAGTGCATTCGTTACTTTCTTGATCATCTCACTAAGAATTGAAAAGCACCATATAAATATCATGAAATCTTAATAAAAAGAAGACAAACGTCAAAAACTAAAAAAGACATAGCAAAAAAGCTTACTTGATAAAATCTCGTTTTGCAGAAGTCATTTTGGTAATGAAAGTTTAGAGCAAATTAAGAATAAATTAAAAAGAAGCTTGATTTATTTTGGTTTGCTATATCACTTGCTTCTCACAAGAGGTAAACCCTTTAAATAGATTGTTTTCATATTGCTTTTACCAAATATAATATTTGAAGTTCACATTGTAATAGAAAGTTAATAAATTTTGAGAGATTTTGTTGCTCAATTTGATGAGATGAATTGAATTTGAGTTTATCCTAAAAAGGCACTTGATTTTGGATAATAGGTAATTAAATTATTTCAATATTAAATTATAAATTATAAATTTAAATTTAATAATTATTTTTCTAAATAAGGGTAACCATGTAGATTTTATGAGTATGAGTTCTTTATGAATCCAAGTAATAATGCTAACAAAGATGGGTTGACTAAGAGCCCGTTTGGATTAGATTAAAAAAATAGCTTTTAAGTCAAAATAAAAAGTCAAATTGAAATGATTTTTAAGCCAAAAAATAAAAAGTAGGGGTAGACCTACTTTTGGTTTTTGACTTATTTTAAGTCATTTTTTACTTTGCCAAATACATTCTAACTTATTTTAAGTTATTTTTGACTTATTGTAAGTTATTTTTTGTATTTTTCAACACTTTCCAGAAGTAAAAAACTGACTTAAAAGTAGGTTTGACCAACTTTTAAGTCAATCCAAGCACCCTCTAAATCATCAACATAAAGAATTTTAATTCGGCAATTAGTCAGAAATTTTTGTACCAAATATACAAGGGAAAATTACGTAATTACACGACTTATGGTAACATAATCTGTAAAAATCTCTACCATTTGAATTAATTGCAAAAATCTTCTTTTTCCTTCTCTCTTTTAACATTTGAATTTATCATTCCACCTCTACCGTATAAATTACAACTTTGTTTGTGTACTATCTAGTCCAAATGTTATTATTGATAAATAACCCCAATAATTTCAAACTAAAATCAGTATGAATCTTGTTTATAGTTATGTATCTAATACATAACTTATGTATAATTTGCTCTGTATTAGGTGAAGAAGCAATGTATCCGCGAGTTTTGAAAAATCTGAGATTATTGTAATTTGAGAAGCTTTCGGAATATGATGTAATTAACGCCAAATTGTTGAGGTTTCTGTAGTTTATAAAATATACAAGTAGTCCAAATTAACTTTTTCCTATTATATATTGTAATTTGTAACAACGCGCATCTCTTGCATTCTCTTTAATTGAACTAGATAAAGTTATTATAGATAATTAATATATTTAATTACGAAGGCAATGTTTTGAGTAACATTTGGTCCAAACTTTTGTTAGTCACAATTAATTTAATGATTTAACGGTTAAAAACATACCTAACTATTCTAGTTTTTTATATCTGAATTATTGAGAGTGTGAGTTTCCTACCTGACTTATCTCTCAATAGTTAGTGAACTACACCTTGACTAATTTCTGATGATGTGTGTATACTCTCTCTTTTATTTAAAAATTCTAACACGTGCCACTCCACATGGAAAAATAATTTCATCATGATCAATCTAAATAAATTAGTATTAGGTTAAAAGTTAAAACTATCACCGTATAATTAATTTATTTCAACTGTGACATCCACCATCTTCTTCACCTTCTTAACCATGGTCTCGTTTCTGTCTTGACATCTCCTACTTGAAGCGGGAGAGTTTAGGATTTAAGGAGGCCAATTAGAAATATATTAAAAAAATTAATTGTCAACAAATAGAGATATTATATGTCGTGTGGATGGAAAATTTATGGACAAACACGCCTAGAAGATTCTCCACCCTTTTTTTCACAATTATATACTCAAATTCCCCTTTTTATATGTCTCATATGTATTAAAAAGGATTTTAAATCGAAAGTTATTTACATGTCATATCAAATAAAGTTGATTACCATGTCATATCCCTCACTGCATTTTCAATTCTTCTTTGTCACAATTTATATACAACTGATTTCACAAATTTAGCTTATTGTTAAAGATATGGTCCTACTCATATATCATATTTTTTACTTATTAGAAATACAAGACATCCAATCAGAAATGTCACGAAATCTCCCACTCTTCAGGGGTGCCCTTAGTGTTGAAGAACATGTACTAGGGTGTATGTGCGAGTGCGACTTGTTTAGATCATGAGCTGACATAAAAGCAAAAAAAACTACTTTCATAGTATCAGTAATTAGTATCGGTGAATGGGATAGGATGGAAAAAGGAACTCCATCCATTACTCAAAAAAAAAAAAAAAACTCAATCATATCCCTTAATTTCTTGGTTACAATTCACATTTTGTGAGGCTATCTATAGTACTAATTGTAAATAATATCTATTTCAAAGTTGTAATTCTATGTATATTTGCCTTCATCAATAAAATTCTGAAGATGATAATTTGATTAGCTTATTACCATCTGATCTATCTATACTATTATTTATCCTCTTAGATTCTAGAAATAAGTTCTTGATTGTGTGAATCTCTTTCAAAGCTATGCTTATTGGCATTCGATCTCTTGGCGATGAGCTACTACATAAAAGTCCTATTTTCATGATTGAGATCAAGCATTCTTGTATAATAGTGCTGGTGTTTAGCTTGGATATATACTCATCATCTTGAAGTATTGCCTTTTCTTCCAAATCACTTGCATTGTCCTCATATATATTGTGTTCTTCATATGCTAAAAGCAATGATGCATCAGCAATCTCCGTGACACGTCTAGGCAGATGGGATTTGACATATTGGTGAATATTCAGGCCATCTTTGAAGATCTCATCGGTTGGCCTTCTACCGGTAAACAACTCTAGCAACATGATACCAAAGCTATAAACATCTCCTAGAGTGGACACATTTACACCTGATCCATATTCTGCAAGATAATGATGAATTATGTTGGGACACTGAACATATGTTCACTCACATGAAAATGACAACCTCATATGAATGCTTAGTTATTGATTTGTTCATTCGACACCTTAAGCATCAGAAAGATAAGCTCCCTTCGTTTCAATTCATTTGTCTTACTTTCCTTTATAGTCCGTTTATAAAAGAGTGTCTCTTTGCTTTTTGACAACTCTTTAAATTTCAATAGATTAAAGGGCATGTTCGTACATTCTATGTATCTTTAGTTTAAGACGACAAGATTCGAAAGTATTCTTTATTTTTCTTGAACTTTGTGTCAAGTCAAAACCACACAAACAAATTGAAACGGAGGGAGTATATGAGATTGAGGTACACAAACATCTTACATGTTAGCACCCCTGATAAGGGAAATAGATATGCAAGAGAAATCAACATGGATTAATGACATACCTGGTGGGATATAACCAATAGAACCCTTTAGTGCAATAGATGTATGTTTGTTCCATGATGATTTGAAGAGAAATTTTGCCAATCCAAAGTCACCAACATGGGCAGTCATCTCTTCATCAAGGAGTATGTTGCTCGGTTTTAAATCACAGTGAACAATTGATACTTGGCAATTGTTGTGGAGATAATCAAGTGCTGAAGCAGCATCTATTGCGATGTTTAGTCTTTGGATGATATTGAGGTATTTCTCATCACCTTTCGAGTGCAGCCAGTCATCTAAGCTTCCATTTTCCATGAACTCAAAGACTATGCATTTGAAATCATTACCTTGGTAATCGATGCTTGAACAAACAGCTATTATCTTAAGTAGATTTCGATGCCTTATGCTTTTCAAAGCTCTACATTCATCCGAAAAGCTTTTCAAAGCACCTCTTTGTTGAAGGTTCAATACTTTCACTGCCATTACTTTATCAAAAACCTGAAACTTTCCTCTGTAAACAGAACCAAAACTTCCTGTACCGACTAGATTATCCTCAGAAAATCCATTGGTTGACTTGAATATATCTTGGTAAGTTATCTTTGCTGTCAAAATTGGATCCTTAAATAAAGTTGGTTCTTCATCATCAAAATGATCAGACTGCCTTTCTCTTGAGGACCGTCCAGTAAGATCTCTTTTTCTCGACTTCCTAATTACTATATAGCAAGCTGCAAAAGAACACAAAAGTAAAAATAGAAATGCAACCGAAATAATAATTGCTACTTTTATCCTTGAACTAATGTGTTTCTTTGATGATGCATCTTTTTGTTTAGGGCATGTAGGAAAATTGTAGTTTGGAGGACCTCCACATAGTTCATCATTCCTTGAGATTGAGACGGCGGTTTCATTTGCAAAGATCCCTTCAGTTGGTACTTCGCCTTCAAGTTCGTTGAATGAAAGATCAAGCTTCCTAAGATATGGAAGTTTCCCAAGAAACTCAGGTATTCCTCCTGAGATGTTATTGTGTGACAAATCAATTTCTTCTAAGCCTCTTAAACCTTGCAAGGATTCAGGAATTTCTCCTCGAAACAGATTGTTATTCGCTATGAAGCGCTCTAAGCTGACACAGCTACTTAGAGTACTTGGAATTTCACCTGATAATTTGTTATGTGAAATATCCATTTCCTTGAGATTTATCAACTTTCCAAATTCAGCTGGCAAGGAACCGGTCAACGAATTGTTCGCTAAGGCTAAGGAAATCGAAAGAGAAGAAAGACCTGCAAGCTCCTTTGGTATGGAACCAACAAGATTATTTCCTGTAAGGTTTAGCCTTGATAAGCGGATGCACTGCCCGAGCTCCGGAGGTATGTTTCCTTCTAATTCATTGTCCTCAATGTGTAAAGTAGACAAAGATGTTAAGTTACCAATAGAAGATGGAATCCTTCCTGATAACTTGTTTCCATTCAACAGCAGTCCTTGCAGGCGTCGAAGCTTACCTAAAGACTCAGGAACACTGCCTCTCAAGTAGTTATTATCCAGTGATAGAAGGGTCAAATTAACAAGATTTTCTAGTCCTGTAGGAAGAGAACCAACTATCATATTATAACCAAGAGCAAATATTTCTAGCCTCGTGGAAAGGTTACCGATTGTTTTAGGCAATTCACCTCCCAAAATGTTGTCCTCAAAGCTAAGAACTTGCAAACTTGTGCAGTTAACTAGGAAATCAAGAAACCTCAAATCCCCACTTGTGTTTCTTCCAAGACTATTGATCTCAAAGTTCATCCTATACAACCCTTGCAATTGTCCTAAACTCGTAGGGACATTTCCGGTGAGCTTATTTTGAGACAATTCAAGTACACCAAGTTTTGTTGCATTTGATAATGAAACAGGAATTGGTCCAGTGAAATCGTTCACAGCACCAGCAAACACCACAAGATTCGGAAGAGTAAGGCCTATATCTGATGGAAGCTCTCCATACAACAAGTTTTGAGTAACAGAGAAATAGTAAACAGAGGATATATTGAAAAGAGATTGAGGAATTGTACCATTCAACTGATTTCCATAAACTTGGAATATTTGCAAGTTTGACAAACGTCCAATATCTCGAGGTATTGGTCCTTGTAGATTGTTGATTGCAAGGGAAAGACCTCGAAGAGTCGAAAAATTTCCTATCCAAGATGGGATACCTCCTGTTAGATTGTTGCTTCCAAGGCCTAAATAATTCAACTTTGAAAGTGAACTGAACTGATCAGGTAAAACTTTACCAACCAGACTATTATATTCTAGAGCAAGTGATCTAAGTTCTTTACAGTAACTCAGATTAGCAGGAATGGTTCCAGTAAATGAATTCCAAGTGAGATTAAGATGTTGCAGTTGCAAGAGGTTGCCAATTTCCATAGGGACTTCACCATGGAAGCTATTATTCCTAAGATTTATCGTTGTTAGTGTCACACCCCTTTTTGCGCAAGGCGGCGGAAGGGTTTTTTCCAATTTAAGTGACGTTATTGATTTAGGGATTATTTTATTTTTTCAGAGTCGCCACTTGGAATTGAGTTATGGTGTTCCAAGTCACCTTTTTGTTTAATCCCTTATCAAAAGGAAATGACTCTTTATATTAGTCTGCGAACCAGAAATTCGGGTAAGGAATTCTGTTGACCGAGGGGAAGGTATTAGGCACCCCTCGAGTCCCGTGGTTCTAGCACGGTCGCTTTTATTGACTTATACATTATTTTACTATTTTTGGATAATTTGTGTCTAAGGCCATGGTTCACTTATTTTATTAATTGTTGAATTTTTATTAGTCTTAAACCGGATGCATAACTGCATTCTCGATCTTGACATTTAGAGACATAACTGTCTTCCCCTCTCGATTTCATAACACTTAATAATTTCAATTTACACCTCTTGGTTTGAATTAACAAAAAATAATTATTAAAACAATTTGGACAAGGTGCGTCACTGCATCCTTGAGTTTTTTTTAAGTGTTCCAAAGAAAGATGTTTAACCACATTCTTAATTGAAACCGACCTTTGAAACGGGTCATATATTT